CAGAGATTGCCAGCTTTCTTGGCAGACACCTGTCTTTCAAACCGAGACAAAGCCATACTCCCCTTCTTCAATTTTCGATTAAGGAATGAAAATCTTTCAGGGTGGGAAGATATTCTTGGCCTTTTTTTCCTGAACAAAGAGCAAGAAATGGAGGATGAAGGAGAAGCTGCATTTCAGTTCTGTGGGTACTTCTCTGCAAGCACCATTCAGTTGTAGATTGGCTTCTGGCAAAGATGCCCGGCTACTCTGTGGTGCTGAAGGACAACACAAGGTAGGGGGCGACTGAGAGAATATTCACACGTCCTCATGATGAGGTACACACACACACACACACAGAGACTAACTCATGTGTGCTCATGTGCATGGAGCCAAGAAAAAGTCTTTCTATTCATAGAAGGCCATAAAAATACCAACAGCTCAGCTCTGCTGAGGACTTGTTGCAAGCAACTCTGACAGGAGAGGACCCAGTAATATCGGGGAAAGACCAGGTCACAGACACATCGCTGGTGTTCACAGATGACCAACAGAGACTGCACAGGAAGAGGATGAGGCAATGAGACCAGCTGAATTTTCCTGAGAGCAATGTTTCTGTAGCAATGGGGTCAGTGCAGCAATGACTGACTGCCACAGAGAGTCAGGGAGGAAAACCAAAAAAGGATGCTTTTGTTTTGAAATGTTCCCACATTTCTTCTTTAGACTCAATAATGTCCCCTCACATGGCAGTCCTTCACGTGCAAGAATGAGAGCAGTGTAGATTCCTTGACAATTTTAGTGCAAAAACCCATACAGACATGACACAGCTTCACATCAACTGACCACATGGAATGCTACCATCTGAGCCTTCTGCCTGAGCTGATGTGTTTATATCCTGGAAATATTTGGGCTTCACATCCCAGCACTTACAGAAGACTTCAGATAGAAAGGCACATGGAATTAGACAAGAAATGAAAAGCTAGTAGTGCAGGAAACCAGGACACAGCCCCTACCATTAGCTGGGATGGTGCACATTTGACATGAGCTGGTCAGAAAACTATGACTCCCACAAAGGTGCCTCTGGGCCTGAGGCAGGGCAGGACTGCTATAAAAGGCAGCCCAAGTCTCTGCTCTCTTATCCACTTCTCTCACCTCCTTCTCCTCAGGAATCCTCAGGTGAGTGCGAAGATCCTGCTCCTGCTGCTTCAAGAGCAGCTCTTTCCTGGCTGTAGGTCTCAGCTGAGACGGGATTTGGGAGCACAGGGCTGGGAGCTGCTTCCGCTGGGAGAGGGCAGGGGAGAGAAGGTCTTGTGCAGACAGTGAGAGGCTGGCACTTGGCTGAGGTGGCTCCTGGGCTTTGAGCTGGGCACTGCAATGTGGGCCAGGAGCTGCCTTGGCTGCAGGGTGTTTGGGTGCAGTGCTGCTCCTCATGTGTCCCCACTTTCTCCTTCTGCCTGCCCTCTGTGCCAGGTGCACCTGTGACCCCGAGCCATGTCCTGCTGCAAGCCCTGTGACCCTTGCTGCCAGCCCTGCGGCCCTTGCCCGCTGGGCAGCAGCTGCAATGAGTGCTGTGTCAGGCAGTGCCAGAGCTCCCATGTCGTCATTGAGCCGCCTGCTGTGCTGGTGACCCTGCCCGGCCCCGTCCTCAGCTCCTTCCCACAGAACACCGCCGTGGGATCCTCCACCTCCGCTGCCGTTGGCAACATCCTCAGCTCTGGCGGAGTGCCCATCAGCTCCGGGGGCTTTGACATCTCCTGCATCACCAACTGCTATGGCAGCAGATGTTGTCGTCCTTGCTAAAGATTCTGCTGGCAACTTCCTTGGGCAAGAACCTCCAAGACCTCAGAACATGGAGCTGGAATCAAGACAAAATTTTGGGATATTGCATTTGGACTTTTTGGCTATTAGTTCCTTCTTCTGCACTCTCTTCTCTTTTTCTTTCCTTTTTTGATGACACCAACCAATGCCACCTTGGTGGCCCCTTGGTGGCTTCTCTTCCCCTCTATCTGCTGGCCAGGCTGCCAGACACCCCCTATGCATCTTATTATCTGCACCTTGTGCTGTGTCTGATGTTCCCACATTTCTTCTTTAGACTCAATAAAGTATTTTTGCATTCTAAACTGGGCCTATGATTTGTCCTTCTTTCCATGACAAGTTTTCCAGTCTCCTCAGGAAAAAGGTGGAAAAGCAGACAGTGGGACTCACTGCTATGGATTTTCCTTCTGTCTTTTCCCTTAGAGCTGACATAGACAGAGATATCCTGACAGTGAGAGTGATGAGGTGCTGGAACAAGTTGCCAGAGAAATTGCAGATTTCTCACTCCTGCAAGTCTTCAAGGCAAGGTTGCTCAGGACTTTGAGCTGCTTGGTTTGGTGGGTGCCGTCTACCCATGGTGTGTGTAGAGTGTTGCAAACAAAAACTGTTCCAGTTCCCTTCCATCCCAAGTATTTCAGTTGACATAGTTGGGCAGATGGAATACCCACAAAACCATGATGGAGAGGCAAAGAGTAAATTTATTTCCTTTCCTCACTCCACACAGGAGGCTGAATCAACACTTGGGCAGAGATGCACAAGTGGGAACATTGTCCCCCTTAGGTTAAGTCCTTGCTGGCAGGGGTCCTCTTTACACCAGTCCTATGATGTGTCTGTGCTTTATTGATCTCTGAATTTTTATTTTTCTCTCTCCCAAAATAGGTATCTCAAGCATGTCCGTTACAGGGCCTCCAAGTCTCTAAACACTAACCTTGTCTCTACACAGTGATTCTGCTTCTGCAAACACAGGATAAAACAGAAGAAGGCATCCTTTATGGTTTTTCCCACACTGATAACCTTCTCGGACATTCTCAGCTGCAATGTCACTTGAGTGAACCTACTCAACCATTCTCCTCATTCTTCTGCTTTTAACCCTTTCCTCCCAACCCAAACCATTTCTAATGAAATCCACTTTCACAGAGGCTTCACCAGTGTGACAAATGGGCTCTGTGTTGGGTAGCACAGAGTCCCCTTTGGACACACTTGGAGCTGATTCTGTCAGATGTGGCGGGAAACACTGGACTCTTGTCCCAGAGCCCATTCCTGCAGTTTTGTTCCCCAGCTACCAAACCTCATTGCTTTTACACAAGATACAATGTCCAACACAGTGTGAAGCAAAATCAGATGAATAAAAATTTTAACAGCCAATTGTTATGCACGGTTTTGCTTTAGCCAGCTGCCTTATCTCAAGCATCAAATTGTTTCCCATCTGATTTTCTCTTCCCTATCCACCTCAGAAAGGAGTCATAAAATGGCTTGCAGAACACTGGCCATCAGCCAAGGTCAACTCAGCACAGCTGCTAATAACCACCAAGGATTGGCAGTACAGACATGTGGCAAAAAAGTCCAGCATGTGGTAGGAGAAGGGACCCTGGGGAGGTAGGGAAGCAGTTTTCTGGGAGAAGTGTTTTTGCTGTGGCTCCTGGAGAGCAGCAAAACACAGCAAAAGGCAAGAGGAGGAGGTGGAGTAGCAGCCATGGGCTGTTGACCTAATGCTGATCTAGGAGAGAGGAATCAAGACCACAAAGGCCCCTGAAGCCCCCAATCCCTGTCCAGAAGGAGCCAGAAGGACAGACTGGCCATGGAAAGTCATTTGCACAGGGAGCAAGATCACTGGTTCCATTGCAGGGATAATCTTATCTAAAATCAGTGTCCCCAGGAAGTCTAGGAAGTACTCCCAGGATCCTGGACACCATACTAGCTAGACTGATGTATGAGCCAGGAGTATTGAGATTTCCCTTCCCTTCCCTTCCCTTCCCTTCCCTTCCCTTCCCTTCCCCTCGTTTCCCTTCCCTTCGTTTCCCTTCCCCTCGTTTCCCTTCCCCTCGTTTCCTTTTCCTTTCCCCTATTTCCATGCCAAGTTTGCATTTTACTAATAAAATATGAAATGTTCTATGGACTCTCTGACTTTGGTCCTTCCTCTCAACCACCAGTTTGTAGAAATCCTGGCTGTTGCCTCCGCGTTACAAGTGGGACACCTCACCCACTCACCAGCAACACTCCAGCAGAGAGGGTTGCATTTGGGATGAAGGCCTGTAGAGACTGACAGGATTTCTGGGCTTTCTCCCTGAACATAAAGGAAGAAGTGGAGGGTGGAGGAGGCAGAGGCTGCATTTCAGTTCTCTGGACATTTCTCTGCAAGGTCAAAGCAGCACTGTTCAGCTATACATCGGCTCCATCTCTCCAGGGCAACCAGTGCCTCAGTGGGGCTAAAGGACACGCCAAAGGGGGGCTGGCAGTGAGGACCATCATGTGTCCTCATGATGAAAACACTTGCAGATTGACACACATGCTTAGGAAGGCCTCCCTTGAACCTTGCAATTTGGACATTCATAAAAGAAAACCACCAAAAAGTGGGTAGTCTGTTGAGGTGTTGGTAACAACTCTGAAAGGAGAGAACTCAAGCATCCCATGAAGGAATCCGGCCACAGAAATGGTCTTTGTCTTCTCAAAGGACCCACAGACAATGTACAGAAAGAGGGTGAGGTTGATGAGACCAGCACAATTTCCCTGAGATACTGTAAGTATGGCAAGAAAGAAAAAGTCCTGCAAGCAGAAGCCCATCTCAGTGAAACAAAACATGCTTGCCAGAGAGAGATGGGGAGAAGGAGAAAAGGATGTTTCCTCTAGCCTCACATGGCACCCCTGGTGCATGTGTACAAGAAGAATAAGCATGATTCATACAACATTTTGCCACAAATAAATCTACAGGAATAACACAGGTGAACACTATGTGCCTACATGGAATGTTACTAGACCACGATCCAAACATTCAGCCTACGCTGACGTGTTTATATCAAGGAAATTCTTGGACCTTGAATCCCGGCCATTTGAGAAGACTTCAGATAGGAAATAAAAATGCACACAGCAGAAGCCAGAAAATGAAAAGGCAGCAATGCAGGAAACCAGGCCACAGCCTCTACCATTAACTGGGATGGTGCACATTTGACATGAGCTGGTCAGAAAACTATGACTCCCACAAAGGTGTCTCTGGGCCTGAGGCAGGGCAGGACTGCTATAAAAGGCAGCCCAAGTCTCTGCTCTCTCATCCACTTCTCTCACCTCCTTCTCCTCAGGAATCCTCAGGTGAGTGCAAAGATCCTGCTCCTGCTGCTTCAAGAGCAGTTCTTTCCTGGCTGTAGGTCTCAGCTGAGACGGGATTTGGGAGCACAGGGCTGGGAGCTGCTTCTGCTGGGAGAGGGCAGAGGAGGGAAGGTCTTGTGCAGACAGTGAGAGGCTGGCACTTGGCTGAGGTGGCTCCTGGGCTTTGAGCTGGGCACTGCAATGTGGGCCAGGAGCTGCCTTGGCTGCAGGGTGTTGGGGTGCAGTGCTGCTCCTCATGTGTCCCCACTTTCTCCTTCTGCCTGCCCTCTGCGCCAGGTGCACCTGTGACCCCGAGCCATGTCCTGCTGCCGGCCCTGCGACCCTTGCTGCCAGCCCTGTGGCCCCTGCCCGCTGGGCAGCAGCTGCAATGAGTGCTGTGTCAGGCAGTGCCAGAGCTCCCATGTCGTCATTGAGCCGCCTGCTGTGCTGGTGACCCTGCCCGGCCCCGTCCTCAGCTCCTTCCCACAGAACACCGCCGTGGGATCCTCCACCTCCGCTGCCGTTGGCAACATCCTCAGCTGTGGTGGAGTGCCCATCAGCTCCGGGGGCTTTGACATCTCCTGCATCACCAACTGCTACGGTGGCAGCAGATGCCGTCCCTGCTAAATCTGCTGGCAACATCCTTGGGCAAGAAGCTCAGAACATGGAGCTGGAATGAAGACAGAATTCTGGAATACCCTATGTAGAGCTTCTGACTTTTGCTTCCTTCTTCTCCTCTCTTTTCTCTCTTGCATTCCTTTCCAATCAATACGACTCAATGCCAGCCTAGTGGGATCTGTTGGCTTCTCTCCCTCCCTCTCTGCAGACCAGCAGATGGACGCCCCTGCTGCACCTTATTGGCTGCTCCTGGTGCTCTCTGAGGACCACTTCCTTTTCTTCTTTAGTGTCAATAAAGTTGTTTTGCATCTAAGCAAGTTGACCTGTGGTTCTGCTTTCATCCATGTCAACTTTTCCAGTGAGCTCAGGGCAAAAGGTGGAGGAAGCAGAGGTTGGGACTCCGTACACTGGATTTTACTTTGTGCCTTTTCTCTTGGAGCTTACATACACACCCCTCACTCCTCCACTGCAACTACCAGGGGAGGAAGATAGTTCCCAAACTTAACAGAAATGGAGGGTGAAAAGGGGTGAGTGGGAATCAGCAATGCTTTGGGACAGGCCACAACCTCCTCTTTTCTGACACCTCCCTCACATTTAGTGTTCTGCCCAGCTGCTGTCCAGACACAAAGGACTGAGACGCTTCATGGGGTGGGATCAGCAGCACTCACACGGAAGAGCTGATTGGGATCAGCTGTTCTATGGAGCCCTTTCCAGGTCAATGTACCATGAAGAAAGCTCTGACCCCATGAGGAGCCTGCACCAAAAAAGATTCCTGGCAGGAATGTCCACTGCAGTAGAGAGAAGGCCAAAATAGAGCAGGTCCTGCTGATTGGATTTCTTTCTCTGTTGGGGAGATGCCCTGGAGCATTCTGCTCTTCAACAAGTGCACCCCTTCAAAATGACTCACCCTTTCCACGGGAATCCTTGGAATGAAAGAGCCCCATCCTTTCCATTCCAATCCTTGAACTGTTGGAAAACTGCATGGAGTTTTCCAAAACCTTCTGCTTTCCAGAGAGAAAAAGCTCCACCCCTTCACTCATAGAACAGGTTCTCCAGCTCTTTGGTCATCTCTGACACACGCAGAAGGGTTGCATTGTCTGCTGGATTGAGATTTGGCACATTCCTCAGACAGTCCTGGCTTACACTTCAGACTGGCACAAAGCTGCATTTTTAGACAAAACATTCTGATGCCTTTCTGAAGAAGAAAAAGGAGGGTGTGGTAATGGCCTCACTTGCCCACCCTGTGCTAAGATCAATAAACTCTGCACGTGCTGTTTGTCCTCTGTCCGTTTGGAGAAGTAAAATTTCTGTATTGAGACAAGGCAGGTGTTTGGAGAGACTTGGAGGCCCTTGCATGGACAAGCTTGAGCTCTCTGTTTTGGGAGATAGAAGGTCAAAGCTCAGAGAGCATAAAAAGCAGAGGTTGATCACAGTAGTGGTGCAAAGAGGAGCTCTGCTAGCCAGGACTGTGCCTAAGGGTGCTGAAATTCCCACCTGTGTACTCCTGTGGGACTGATCTGAAGTGGGACAATGTTCCCACTTCTGGATCCCTTCCCGAGTTGTTGATTCAACCTCATCTGTGCAGTGAGGTAAGGAAATACATGTACTCATTGCCTGTCCACCATGGTTTTCTGGTTTTTCCAGGTGCTCAACTGTGTCAATTCAAACACTTGGAATTTAAGAACATTTATTTCATTTCCAGCACCATAGCCACCCCACAAAATAGACAATGGCAGCATCCACAAACCAAGTGGATCAAAGCCCTTCCCTGTGGATTTTGAGCCTTGAACATGTCCAGGAATAAGAAGTAACTTCTCCATTCCAGTGCCTCATAACTCTCACTGTCAGTGATGTCTTTGTCACCTCTGAGAAAAATCCACAGCAGTGACTCCAGCACTCTGCTTTTCCATCTTTCTCCTGAGAAGACTGGAAGAGTTTTCACAGAATGAAGGAGGAATCAGAGGCCCAGGATGCAATACAAAAAGAACTTTACTGAGTCTAAAGAAGAAAGGGAGGTAGTTCTCAGAGACAGCACCAGGCGCAGCCACTATGACGCCCCAGTGATTTCTGACGTCCTGGCCTGCAGAGGAGAAAAGTGCAAGAGGTCTCACTAGGCCGTCCATGAGTGGCGGTGATAGGAAAGGAATGGAACAGGAAAATGAGAGCAAGAGGAGAAGGAAACACTAGTGCAAAGCTCTAAATCCAATGTCTTAAATTTCTGACTTCATTCCAGCTCCATGTTGTGAGGTCTTGGAGGTTCTGGCCCAAGGATATTGGCGGCAGCGTCTTTAGCAAGGACGACAACATCTGCTGCCACCGTAGCAGTTGGTGATGCAGGAGATGTCAAAGCCCCCGGAGCTGATGGGCACTCCCTCAGAGCTGAGGATGCTGCCAACGGCAGCGGAGGTGGAGGATCCCACGGCGGTGTTTTGTGGGAAGGAGCTGAGGATGGGGCCGGGCAGGGTCACCAGCACAGCAGGCGGCTCAATGACGACATGGGAGCTCTGGCACTGCCTGACACAGCACTCATTGCAGCTGCTGGCCAGCGGGCAGGGGCCGCAGGACTGGCAGCAAGGGTTGCAGGGCTGGCACTGCTGGCACTTCTCAGGGCAGGACATGTCTGGAGCCTGGCGCTGCACCTGGCGCAGGGAGGGAGCAGAGCACACGCACATCTGAGACACAGCCCGCAAAGCACCCCCAGCAAGACAAGGCCCCTGCTGCCCGTGGAGCTCCAGGCTGTGCCGCCCCAAACTGGGGATCCTTTGCCTGAGCCCAGCTCGCTCCTTCCGAGCTCAGCCTGGCCCAGCCATGCTCCTGCCCAACCTGCATGAAAATCAGCACCTCAGCCCAGCCTCAGCCTCTGGCCAGAACACACGGCCTTCCCTCTGCCCACACCTCCGCCACCAAGGCAGAACAGCCCCAGAAGAAGAAGGAGCAGGAACAAGGGCTGGAAAGCTCAGTGCTGTCCTCGAGAGGGTGCAGGAGAAAGGGACTTGCAACTCACCTGTTTCCCAAGGAGAAGGAGGAGACAGAAGTGGTTGAGAGAGCCACCTGTTAGGCTGCCTTTTATCCTGGCCCCACACTGCCTCAGGGCCCACATTCCTTGCTGAATAAGTGAGGAAATCCCTGTATGAGCCAAATGAATGGAAAGATCTCAGGGAATGCTATGTCATGTGTTGCTGTTTCCCTCTACAATGACTTTGCAGTTCCTGGCTTCAGGAATCATTGCTGTTTTCTCAAAGACATCTCTTTGGAGTGCTGGCATGTGAGATCCCAGGTTTCCTGGGGGCACGGATGTGTCAGTGTGGTCAGAGGTCATGAAGTCAGTGCAGAAGGGATCCTGAGGAGGCAGGTGATGCCAGCCTGGGGCATTCTGGTGCAGATTTATCATGCTGCCAGATTTTTGTAATTCCTGATGACTGGAAGGGCCTCACCTGCTGCCAGCCCTCCAGTCTTTTCCTCACCACCTAACGGCTCCACATGATGATTTGTCATCTGAATCAAAACTCTTTGCCCTCCTACTCCTCCTCCTTTTCCTGCACAATCCTTGAGGCGCCTGTGGCACTGCAGCCTGAGCAGCTGTCCTGCTGTGTGTGCTCCGAATTTGCTGTGGACAGGAACTCCCCATCATCTCCTCAGTCACATCCCTTCCTATGGCCTCTGCCCCATGTGCTCCCGTGCAATGCTGCGCGTGGGAGTGTGGCTGTGGCCCGGCGTGTGCGAGTGTCGGCACATCCCTGTGCTTGTGCTCTCGTGGGAACAGCCCCGGAGAGCCTGTGGCCTGCACGGGGATGGTTGTGCTCAGGGCAGGGCACTTGTGTGCAGCCCCCGTGGCCGTGTGCCTGTGCCCGTGTGCTGGGCTCTGTGCGTCTGGGCTCATCTCTGTGCACACCTGGGCAGGCTGGCAATGTGCCAGTGCCCCTGTGGGTGCCCACAGCTGTGCCTGAGCTGGCCTCTCAGCCCACCCCTTGCAAGCCCCACAGCGACTGCCCTGCCCAGCAGAGCCAAGCACTCACACACACTCAGCCCCACCTCCTGACCTGCAGGAGCCTGGAGAGGCCCACGGCACTCCCGTCTCACCGACGACAATCCCCAACCCAGGCCATCCCTTTGATGCCATGTCCATGCAGCCTTGTGGCACGGAGCCGTTTCCCAGGCTCCTTGCTCCAGCCTCCTGGAGAGGCTTTGAGGTTCCAGGGTTCTGGTGGCTCTGTGGGGATGGGGGAGTCCCGTGGCCTTTGTCCTGAGCCAGGAGCTATGGGAAAATGATGATGTCAGAGAGAACGAAGCACGTGGAGACAAACTTTTGACTGTGTCTGGGAGGTGGAGGCTGGAAAATGGCAGAGCTTTTCCTCTCCCACATGCAGAAGGTGAAGGAGTGGCAGCCTCCAACACAGTGGGAGGATAGTTTTGGTTCTGTCCTCCCGCTGAGTCGATCCCATGAAACACCTGAGCTCCGTCTGTGTGGTTGGAAGCTGAGCAGAAATCTAATGTGAGGGAGGTGTGTAAAGAGAGGGGGCTGTGGAACATACCCAGACACTGCTGTTTCCCATTCCCTCATGTGTGACCTTCTGACATCATCTTCTCCTGATTGGAAGCTCTTTTGGGGAAGACAGGGTTTGTGACCTCCAATGGAAGAGGTAGAAAGGAAACTCCACTATGGAGTCGCCACGCTCGGCTGCCTCCACCTTTAGTCGTGAGCTGAGTTCAAGAGTTCCTTTGCACACAAGGAAGGAGGAAGCTGAGGGCCAGGATTGGATGCAAAAGTATTTTATTGATTCTAAGGAAGAAAAGGAGGTAGATCCAAGAGGACACAGGAGCAGCCACTGGAGTGCAGTGGGAGTGTCCATTTGCCTGTCCTGAAGAGGGACAGAGGGAGGCAAACAGGTCCCACTGGGCTGGCATTGGGTGGTGCTGAGAGGAAGGGAAGAGAAGGGAAGAGCGTTGAAGAAAATAACAGTAAACCAAGGGCACAAATCCATTCTGCCTAAGATCCATCTTCAGTGCAGCTCCACGTTGTGAGGTCGGGGAGGTTCTGGCCCAAGGAAGTTGCCAGCAGATTTAGCAGGGGGGACAACATCTGCTGCCATAGCAGTTGGTGATGCAGGAGATGTCAAAGCCCCCGGAGCTGATGGGCACTCCGCCAGAGCTGAGGATGTTGCCAACGGCAGCGGAGGTGGAGGATCCCACGGCGGTGTTCTGTGGGAAGGAGCTGAGGACGGGGCCGGGCAGGGTCACCAGCACAGCAGGCGGCTCAATGACGACATGGGAGCTCTGGCACTGCCTGACACAGCACTCATTGCAGCTGCTGGCCAGCGGGCAGGGGCCGCAGGGCTGGCAGCAAGGGTCGCAGGGCCGGCAGCAGGACATGGCTCGGGGTCACAGGTGCACCTGGTGCAGAGGGCAGGCAGAAGGAGAAAGTGGGGACACATGAGAAGCAGCACTGCACCCAAACACCCTGCAGCCAAGGCAGCTCCTGGCCCACATTGCAGTGCCCAGCTCAAAGCCCAGGAGCCACCTCAGCCAAGTGCAAGCCTCTCACTGTCTGCACAAGACCTTCCCTCCCCTGCCCTCTCCCAGCAGAAGCAGCTCCCAGCCCTGTGCTCCCAAATCCCGTCTCAGCTGAGACCTACAGCCAGGAAAGGGCTCCTCTTGAAGCAGCAGGAGCAGGATCTTTGCACTCACCTGAGGATTCCTGAGGAGAAGGAGGTGAGAGAAGTGGATGAGAGAGCAGAGACTTGGGCTGCCTTTTATAGCAGTCCTGCCCAGCCTCAGGCTCAGAGGCACCTTTGTGGAAGGCATAATTTTCTGACCAGCTCATGTCAAATGTGCACCATCCCAGCTAATGGTAGGGGCTGTGTCCTGGTTTCCTGCACTGCGGCCTCTATTTCCTGGCTTCTGCCGTCTGCGTTCCTATCTGGAGAGTTCTGTTGAGGGCCATGATGAGAGGCCCAAGAATTTCCAGGATATAACCACGTCACAGTAGGCCGAATGCTCGCATCATGCTCTGGTGGCATTCCATGCAGGCACATGACACAAACCCGTGGTTTTCTTTGTGGCAAAATTCTCAGGGCATCACTCTCATTCTTCCTGTATACCTGCCCATCTCTCCCTCACCTCTCGGGGACATCCCATGAGTTTTGACGTGCAGCCTGTTTGCCTGGCCCATTCTGCAAGTGCATTAGGGACATCAGGTATCCTTGGTGGTCTGCTTTCCCCTCTACTACATGTGCCTTTGGCCAACAGTCCCTGGCCCGTTTCTGCAGCTCCTTCCTGCTCTTGCCCCGGGCTGGATTACCAGCTGTGCCCGGTGGAGCTTGGCTGGACGGATGGTGCCCCGCAAGGCGCTCTATCCATCCCCTTCCTCCTCTGGGCAGAGAAGATAAAATAAAGCAAACCAGAAACCAACTTGAAGCTTGGTAGAAGTCAGTTTGCTCAAGAAATGTGAGAGCTTCTGCATGTGGAAATACACTGGGAAAAAGAAAAGGATTTCATCTCCTCCTTCCCACAGGAAGTAGGGGCTGGCCACTTCCCTGGCGCAGGCCTTCCTCATGTGTCCTGGTGGCTCACAAAGGCAAACTTTGTAAGTAAGGCTGCAGGAATGGGCTCTGTGAGAAGAGTGCAGTGGCTCCTGCCATGTCTGCCTGAGTCATCTCCACCTGTGTGCAGAGGGGACTCAGTCCAGCCCAACACGGAGCACATTTGTCACACTGCTGATGTCTCTCTGCAGGCAGATTTCATTGGCAATGCTTTGGGCTGGAAGGCAAGTTCAAGGGCAGTTCTTTCCACTCCTCCTGCCCTCAACAGATGGGCACTGATGCCAGCCACTAAAGCGGCTTGCTGAAAGCTGTGTCCAGCCTGCTCTTGCACACTTCCCGCCTTGAGGCATCCAAAACCTTTCTGGGCAAGGTATTACAATGCCTCAGCACCCTCAGACAGAGGGACATCTTTCCCAGCTCCAAGGGAAAAGGGAACAGGGAATCCCTGCAGGGCAGGGATTGTAATGCTGGGATTCCTCCACCTTGTTTCTCATCGCAAATCCGCAAGTGATGTCACAGAAAGAGGGGGAAATCAGAAGCCAAGGTTTGAATGCAAAAACTATTTTATTGAGTCAAAAGAAGAAAAGGAGGAGGCTCACAGAGGGCACCAGGAGCAGCCACTATGACGCCCCAGTGATTCCTGACGTCCTGGCCTGCAGAGGAGAAAAGTGCAAGAGGTCTCACTAGGCCGTCCATGAGTGGCGGTGATAGGAAAGGAATGGAACAGGAAAATGAGAGCACGAGGAGAAGGAAACACTAGTGCAAAGCTCTAAATCCAATGTCTTAAATTTCTGACTTCATTCCAGCTCCATGTTGGAGGTCTTGGAGGTTCTGGCCCAAGGATATTGGCGGCAGCGTCTTTAGCAAGGACGACAACATCTGCTGCCACCGTAGCAGTTGGTGATGCAGGAGATGTCAAAGCCCCCGGAGCTGATGGGCACTCCCTCAGAGCTGAGGATGCTGCCAACGGCAGCGGAGGTGGAGGATCCCACGGCGGTGTTCTGTGGGAAGGAGCTGAGGATGGGGCCGGGCAGGGTCACCAGCACAGCAGGCGGCTCAATGACGACATGGGAGCTCTGGCACTGCCTGACACAGCACTCATTGCAGCTGCTGGCCAGCGGGCAGGGGCCGCAGGACTGGCAGCAAGGGTTGCAGGGCTGGCACTGCTGGCACTTCTCAGGGCAGGACATGTCTGGAGCCTGGCGCTGCACCTGGCGCAGGGAGGGAGCAGAGCACACGCACATCTGAGACACAGCCCGCAAAGCACCCCCAGCAAGACAAGGCCCCTGCTGCCCGTGGAGCTCCAGGCTGTGCCGCCCCAAACTGGGGATCCTTTGCCTGAGCCCAGCTCGCTCCTTCCGAGCTCAGCCTGGCCCAGCCATGCTCCTGCCCAACCTGCATGAAAATCAGCACCTCAGCCCAGCCTCAGCCTCTGGCCAGAACACACGGCCTTCCCTCTGCCCACACCTCCGCCACCAAGGCAGAACAGCCCCAGAAGAAGAAGGAGCAGGAACAAGGGCTGGAAAGCTCAGTGCTGTCCTCGAGAGGGTGCAGGAGAAAGGGACTTGCAACTCACCTGTTTCCCAAGGAGAAGGAGGAGACAGAAGTGGTTGAGAGAGCCACCTGTTAGGCTGCCTTTTATCCTGGCCCCACACTGCCTCAGGGCCCACATTCCTTGCTGAATAAGTGAGGAAATCCCTGTATGAGCCAAATGAATGGAAAGATCTCAGGGAATGCTATGTCATGTGTTGCTGTTTCCCTCTACAATGACTTTGCAGTTCCTGGCTTCAGGAATCATTGCTGTTTTCTCAAAGACATCTCTTTGGAGTGCTGGCATGTGAGATCCCAGGTTTCCTGGGGGCACGGATGTGTCAGTGTGGTCAGAGGTCATGAAGTCAGTGCAGAAGGGATCCTGAGGA